AATAGTTCTGTAAATGCATGATGTTATTTCATTTATATGCTGACCAACATAAACAAGAAATTTGACAAATTATGCCGGTTTAGCATTGAAATCGTCTCCTGGAAGTAGACTGTCTAAATTCTTAATTGGTCACGACCGTGTCAGAGAGGAAGGCTATGCACCTGTCAGTTTTTCAATGAGTAATCAGAGCCCAATTGATACTGTTTCGTCACTGTAAGGTTGAGCGACAAACCTCACCTGACCACAATCATATTCGGGGTACCCGAACAACTTGTTGCGTGCCCGTGAGAAATGTTTGCATAGTTACACTATTAGTCGATGGTGACGCTTATGCTAGAGAGTATAAAGGGGAGTTGCATGGGCGGTAGAGAGGAGGGAAGCACACCGAGTTGCAACGGAAAAGATAATTTTTCCAGTTAGTCCCGAAAATGGCGGAGCCAATCAGTGATTTTCGGACACACTTCCTTGTACATTCCCTCTCTATCGAGACACAGCGTATTGACACGAGTCGCATTTTCATTTGTTGTTGTTGTTGTTTTTTTTTTTTTTTTGTTTTTTTTTGTATATATACATCTGCGTCGACGAGTCGTGGAGGGAGAAGAGAGAGCTGACGAACAAAAATTTAGCTCCGTCCTCCGCTGTAAGTTGTTGTTTTCTCTCGTGTAAGTAAGTAGCATTTTTGTTTTGTTCTCCGACAAGTAGTGTGTGATACCTATAGCGTTCGAAGATGTTAAACTCGAGACATTGCGCGACGCGCAAAAGTTCGAGCCGTTGTTTATAATGCCCCAACATTGGTTTTCCTGACGATCGAAGTTGAAGATTACGGTAAACATTTCTAATTTAATATGTGCGGGTCATACATTTCTACGGGGTTTCGTTTTATGCTATTGTATATTATATACATCCAGTGTAGCGCTTGTGTACGTGATATTCATTTGCCCAGAAGTCACGTGAATATAGAAAATATGGACTAATGTTTCTCCTCCCCCCGTGTATTATATGTGTTACACCATTATACTCGTACACTGCGCATCAACCTTTGCAGATAGTATGATAGTACTTGAAGGTGCCGGAGTGTAACAAAGAGCCAAAGATTCGTCGTGCAATGCGGTCGGAGCAGCAACGATGTACACACTTGATATACAGTACCAGCTTTCTAGAATCCGTTCACAATCTCTCTCTCTCTCTCTATTCGCAGGACGTAAGTTCATTGGCCCCAGAAAAAAGAAACCGCACGAATGAGCCACTTACGTGTATACACCATCGGCCGAGGTGGTAGTGTTTTTTTTTTTTTTTTTTTCTCTCCATGTCCCCCATATCGCCGTGGTCTGGCTTTATCTTTGGTTGGTTTTTTCTTTTTCCCTCTTCCTACAATGATGGTATAAATATTCCACGCGTTTCCTCGTCGCAAGCTCATCGGCCGTTGTTTACAATGTGCCCACCGAATTTGACGAAAGTTGACCAGAGCTGTTTATCTTAGCTCGCTTTCCTCCATTGAGCTCTGGGGCTTTGGTTTCCAAATTCGCCTTCTGCACCTATATTATATTTTTTTTTTTTTTTGCTCCTCTCCCAAAGTCTTACACTTCCATGGACCTGACGGGGACCGGGAGTTGTTTTCCAAAAAAAATGCTTTATTTTCTTACAATTGCCACGAGCTTACCTGTATTATAAACAGGCTAACTCGACAAAACCTAATTTACCTACCGGTGCGTCGTGTAAGTGCGGCGATTTCGCGATTAATGCGTCCCTCCGGATCGTCATGTAATTTTGCGTCGCGCTCAAGTTGATCGTTTTTAAATGATCAAGTAAAGGAAAACGAGAAATCAGCCGGTCCCCTCGGCATCGGAAAAGAACATTCGCTGCTCAACTTGAGGGCACGTAAAATTCAAGGCCCGACAAAAGCTCTTGGAGGAAAAAGTATCCACCGGTGTCTGGGCGAACTTGAATAAAAAATAGTAGGAACAGATACTTACCATAAACACAAGAAGAAAAAAAATGATGTGAAATTTAATCACTCGTAACTTTTGTCGATACGAGTTTTGCGCCTCACTGGAGTTTGTCCCTCCCAATGGTGCGACAAAATAAAAGAAGAACGGAAAAGCGCTTCCATACGCGTATATTCGTCATCGTCTATAAATTCGTTTGATGTAAAATAATACATGTGATTGGTATATAATATACGCCTGTGCACTGCACCCCTCTCTCTTTTTTACTACACTACACTTACAATGTGACCAAAGTTTTCGCTGCCTCCTGTATCCTGCGCCCACTTGTAACATCATCGTCAATAAAATGTGTGCGCGAGAGAGAGAGAGCAAGACCCGTTTTTCTCTCTCTCTCTCTTTCTCTCCCCCTTCGTCCTTCTCTCTCACGCGCGCGCGCTTTACGCTGCATATAGGTTTAGTGGTGGAGGGGAACGGAAGAGCACAAGCAAGCTGATGCCGGAGAAGCGCAGACGACGAGCCAAGCGAATAATATAAAGTAAAGAATATATCACACACAGTCGGTACGTAGGCTAGTGTGTGTCGGTGCGCGTACACACACACTCGCATGTTCGTTATATATATATATATATATATACAATATAGAGCCTCATCTGTGTATACAGTGACTAGTGACTCTCTATACTAGTCTTTCTTGCACACACCACACACTCCTCCATTTTGTGGGTCTTTTGAGTTGGTCGTCGTGATATTCTCTTTGCAGTCCGTCTGGTGAGCATAAGTTTTAGCGTTTAACCCACATTAGTAGGTATAAGTAATGTAATGCTTCGATGCGCGCTCCTTCTTTTTTTCACTCTCTCGTCTCAAGTATTAAGTATAGGTACAGGTGATGTGTGTTTACATACGCACTATTTATTATTATTTATTATTATTTATTATTATTATTCTATCGCTCGGCTATAATCTCTCGCTGTTGTTGTAAATATTATATATATATGTATATACATGTATATACATTCGTACATACATATATGCTTGTTTACGCGAAAATACATCGCACGCACCTATTCGAATTTACACAGCTGCGAGCAGATTGACGTGTCTTGTGTAAATTATCATTATTACATGTATATCACGATGATGATGATGATGATGATGATGATGATGTTGATGTCATATTTATATGTGGATAAAGATGACTACGATCAATCCCACATTATTACACACGTATTATATATCCAAAAGTCGATCCGCGCAAGATAAAAGCCGGAAACTATATACATATATATACTATATGGCTGCAGGTACTACCCCTCCCTATACAATCGTATGAATTTAAATCGTTTTCGTTAGTCATTCGTATTGTAGTTTTTAAATTAGAAGCCATCACGTTTTTATCGGTTGGAATTTTCAAACGGTTTGCAAACAATTTTCTTAAGGTGGTCAACGGTTAGTACGTTTTACAATGCGTGTTAAATATTCCGCGAAAAAAATATCAAATATTATTTTCACTCTTCTTATGTTTGTATTTTATAGTTTAACACCTATCAATGTCCACAAGGTAACAACTAAGTATACATCATGCGTTAACTGAATTTTGAGGTGTATACTTTTTCCGCACACAGCTTCGGAGTTTTTTTTTTCTTTACATGATATCGCTAATAGACATATTACAAATTATTTTTTACCACCACGTCATTTATTGAAATCGTAAACGATTCTTTATTTAAAGACCCTGTAACGGGGGTTATAATGTGGTGCCCCTTGAAGGCCCTTGCCAGAGTGGCCCTACTCACACTGCTCTTTCGACATGAAAAATCATCCATCATTTGCCTCGATCAATTAACACATCGTTATCATTTTTTATTCTTCTTCTCCTATTTTTTCTACGCCGTAGCTTTCGTCTCTTGCTATTAACGTATACCTATGTATACCTATGTGCATCATAAACGAACAGTGTAAGTACTTCTATTCAAGTACCTATATATACTTATTATCTTTTTACAACAGTGGCAGTACAGTTTTCTCATAATCCTCGTCGCTTCGTTTTCTTGAATTCGAACGACAAATTTATATGTTACTTATGTATATATATATAACACGCATATACTTGTGTAATATACGTAATATATATACCTACACGCGTGCGCACGCAAAACAGACCCTCTTGCCTTGCCTCTTAAATCAACGGCGATGGCGTTGATCTTCGATGTTCCTATAATATATGCTCTGCTTTTGCCAATATTCCTCGACCCTGAGTATTATTGGTTTTTATTTTTATCGTGTTACCATTAAGATCATTGTTATCGTCGTTATTGTTTATGTTGTTGCTGTTGTTGTTGTTGTTGTTGTTGTTGTTGTTGTTGTTGTTGTTGTTGTTGTTGTTGTTGTTGTTCTTATATTCTCCAGCGTGAGTGATCCCATAGCTCTAGGTATAGAAGAAATCGGCGTCTGGCATACCTTCTTGTTTTGGCCCCGTGTGACAGCAGCCTGCACATTCAACTTTGTTAATGTACATAGTTAACATTATTTCGGAGTTTTCACGTGTGCAAGCGATTAGTGTGAATAATAATTGTAAGCTCGATGCTTCCAGTAATCAATGGTAAGAGAAAAGGGACTCTCTGGATCGATTTGCTATGGTCTTAAATGAAATCGGAGCTTTCTAACCTTAAATGTGGCGCGGATCAGCAGCATTGAACATTCTTTACCTAACTGATGAGGCTCGAAAAATATATAGAAGTACTTACACATGATTTTTTAATAAAAATATATGGCAGAAAGTGTCTGGTTGAAATCTTCAAGCTTAAACCTTGATACTTAAATATACCGAATGAACGTTACTGTGATAGTCACAAGCTATTGAAAACTATACTTATATTGTAACATGTTAATAACATATGATTTGGAAGGAGACTTTTTGCTATAAAATATTGAACACTACACGTGAATTATTATTAGCTTATAATGTGAGATAATTTTAGATGTTTATAGTATATAGTCACGTTAATATTGTACAAACACTTATCTAATGGTTATTTTTCTTTTGTATTTTTTCAGATGTCTGCTGGGTCACAAATTCAGATGGCACCCCAATCAACAATAAACTCTGGTCAGTCAGTTCATAATCAAGATTCAAATATGAGCACTGGTAAGTTGAAATTTTTTATGTTTGAATGATTCTGTTTATTTATCTGGATTTGCCGTATAAACAGTTTGCTTGATGGTACTAGATGGTGTGTAACTTCATTGAGAAATTTTGTTGAAAAAAAGTCCGTGTGATATTCATTAATTTTTTGCAATTTTTGGTAAAACGTTAGTGAAGTGCCATTCAAATATATTTACAGAGAGTGAGATGATATAAATGTACTAAAATTATCAAATTGATCAAGAACAGCTTAAATGATCAAAATTAAAACCGTGTCATTACTTTCAATACAATAAATTGTTGATTATTTTAACCATGTAATTCTTTAATACAATGCTAAATTGTGTGCTTAATCTAAATCCACATGAAATAATATGAATTCAAGGAAAAATTGTTTCTCAACTTTTTTTCATTGACTCAAAATTCGGTTTTTGTTTTTATTAGTGATCACAATGGTGTGTTTTTTAACAGGCTCGTCGCATAGCGACAAGGAGGTAGATCCAAATACTCCAGAAAAGGTGCATCGAACTCCATCGGACAGGAAGAGAAAACGTAAAGCGGATGACAGCGGAGGAGGGGTCTTGAGTCTAGGCAGCAAAGGAGTCAGATCCGTCAGTTCGTTAGAGAATAAAAAAATTAATGAGTATTTTCCAAAGCACCATGTAGGCAGCAGTCCTATCAGGCATGGAGGTGCCAAGAGTCCATCCCCCCAACAGGTGTACCCCATGGTTAGTGAACAAAAAGTATGAATCTCTTGTTTTGTTATTTTTCACCCTTTCTTTCATGCCCATTCATCTTCTTCCCACATGGATTCCTGTATTCCCTTTATACTTTAATTTTCTTTCTACTTACACAAATAAAAAAAAAAAAAATACAACACACGCAAGAAGCAAAGCAAAGCAAACATATCTTGTCTCTCTAAAAGTATCCTCCATCGGCGCAGCAGCTGATAACGCCACAGGTGACGACGGGCAACCCAGTCGTAGGGGTCGGGTCGTCGGTGTCGAGCTCAGTGCAGGCGGGTTCGGGCGGTTCCAGGAGCGCTGAGTTCCCGAGTTCGCTGATGCAACCGCCTCGGGTGCCACAGCCACCCAGTCAGCCGGCAACTCAACAGCAGCAGCCGGTAAGCAGTAGCAGTAATAGCGGAACTACGCCCTTGGCGACGACGACGACAAGCGCAGCCGTGATCACAACCCAGACGGCCCAGACGGCTATTGCAGCTCCCACCTCAGTGGTTAGCCAGGTCTCTGCACAGGCACAACAGCTCGCTGGCACGATGGTCAGCAAGCAGGTGCAGGTAAGGCCTACCAACCTTCCTAGGACAAGCCAGGTCAGGCAAGCGAAGACTAACACCCCAAATGTAAGCACCCAGTTGTATTTTTTCTTTATTTTTTCTCGTTTCGTTGCTTGTTTCATTCTCTTTTTTTTTTTTTTTTTTTCCATACTTGGCTTCGTGCGATAATATGACTTTGTTTTTTTTTTTTTTTTTTTTCTCTCTTCAAAGTAACGTAAATCTGTTTTTCTACTGTCATTTGTAAATTTTTTTTCGGTTTTATGAGTAAATGTTCAATTATAATAAATACCTTGTTTCGGCACTCATTGTTGTTTTCACATTAACATAGATTTTTTACCGATAAAATTACCAATACAAAGGATTTTATGCAAGATATTCGAAAGTTTTGTGGCTGATCAGCTGGCAAATCATTTTTTATATTCGCTTACTCTTTTTCATACCATTTTATCATTATATTTTATGTCTTTTATTTTTGATGAACGAATTCAAGTCAGAAGTTGTCAATATGATTTATTTTTGTCGCTTATTATGTATCCGATTATTTACCTTTCATGCATCATAATAAGGTTTGAAAAGATTACTCTCATTGAGTTATTGATTTTGTACTTCAAATTTGACTTTTTTCAAATTTTTTATTATCTTGTTTCATGTGAAGGATATCATTTTTGGTGTTTTTCTTGCTGCCTGTTTAGGCTGTTAATAATTTTTAATGATTACGAAAAAAAGTTCTTCAATTAGAACCATGGCATTACACAACGGCGACATTCAAATTATTTAAATCTCACATCTTGCCACGAAACACTTAAAGCAACATCTCATTTTTTAAATTTAATCATTTTTACTATGAGTGTCGTAAGGTACATTTCATTTCACTGTATAAAGTAATTGTACTATAAAATGCTGCGATCTTGTATTGTTAGTTACTTATGAAGTCAAATTTTTTTTTTTTTTTTTTTTTTTTTTTCAGACGGAACTTACTTGCCAGAGGATACAAGAGTTCGAAAATCAAGCATCCTCTGATTTAGAGTTACGAAATAGTAAAATCGAAGAGTTGAATAGGGTGCGTATTGGTTTATTAAACGTTAGATTGTTAAAAAAGTATAATATAAAGATATTAAAACTGTTAAATTATGTTTTCCAGACAACGGAGGAGCTGAGGCATCAGGTTTCGAGTCAGCAAAAGGCGTTAGAGCAGCACAAATCCCATATAAATAAGTGTATAGATGTTGTAAAGAAACTGCTTAAGGAAAAGTCGAACATTGAAAAAAAAGAAGCCCGTCAAAAGTGCATGCAGAACCGACTGAGGCTTGGCCAATTCGTGACGCAGAGGGTGGGTGCGACCTTTCAAGAGAACTGGACGGACGGCTACGCGTTTCAGGAGCTCGCCCGGCGCCAGGAGGAAATAACCACAGAGCGTGAAGAAATCGACAGGCAAAAGAAGCTTCTGCTCAAAAAGAGGCCATCAAACAGCGAAACGGGCAGGAAGCGCAGTACCCAGCAGTCCACCCAGCCGACATCATTGCACAATGGTACCGAGGCCACGTTTCTCAAACCAGACGCCGTGCCTGGCTCGTACTCGTGGCAGGAGTACTACGAAGCTGACGAGATTTTGAAACTTCGTCAAAGTGCTCTCAAAAAAGAGGACGCGGATTTGCAGCTTGAGATGGAGAAACTCGAGCGTGAGCGCAACCTACACATTAGGGAGCTTAAGCGCATACACAACGAGGACCAATCGAGATTTAATTCTCATCCAGTGCTCAATGAGCGGTATTTACTGCTGATGCTGCTCGGCAAGGGCGGATTCAGCGAGGTACATAAGGTAGGTACAATTCGATTTTATTAAGTCGAATTTGAGTCTGTTTGTATCCTGTAAGTCTTTTAATTTCTGCAATCAACAAATCATTTTTCTTTACAGGCATTTGACTTAAAAGAGCAACGGTACGTGGCATGCAAGGTTCACCAATTAAACAAAGACTGGAAAGAAGATAAAAAAGCCAATTACATAAAGTGAGTAGACAAAACGACTTCTATAATGCGTTGGAAATTAAAATATCTTGTGCTGATAATGATTATTTATTTTCTTCCAACAGACATGCGTTACGAGAGTACAACATTCATAAAGCATTAGATCATCCGCGGGTTGTAAAACTGTACGATGTATTTGAAATAGATGCAAACTCGTTTTGTACTGTTTTAGAATATTGTGACGGCCACGATTTAGATTTCTATCTAAAACAAGTGAGATGTTTATTTAGTCATATTGTTATTCAAAGCCTATACATTTTATCTGAGTATATTTCAAAACTTAACTTTGATTGCAGCATAAAACAATTCCGGAGAGAGAAGCGAGATCTATTGTAATGCAAGTCGTGTCTGCATTAAAGTACCTCAATGAAATTAAGCCTCCAGTAATACACTATGATCTGAAACCAGGTAAGTAAAGCGTTAACATTGTGAAGACCGTTTTTTATATAAAAGGCATTAAACTTGATATTCTGCCATTTTATTACTTACAGGAAACATTCTCTTAACGGAAGGAAATGTATGTGGTGAAATCAAAATAACAGACTTTGGCTTAAGTAAAGTCATGGATGAGGAAAATTACAATCCAGACCATGGTATGGATCTGACGTCACAGGGAGCTGGTACCTATTGGTATGTAGTAATTTTTTCCCTCACATAATTGCTAATCTATTTTTCAACATTTCTAATAATATATCTTGATTACTATAGGTATTTGCCACCCGAGTGTTTTGTGGTTGGAAAAAATCCTCCGAAAATATCTTCAAAAGTAGATGTTTGGAGCGTGGGAGTAATTTTTTATCAATGCCTTTATGGCAAGAAGGTACGCATTAATTTTTAATTAGTATTACGAAGATTCAATGTGCATACTATTGATTGCGTATATTTTTGTTTCAGCCTTTCGGGCACAACCAGTCACAAGCAACAATTTTAGAAGAGAATACAATTTTAAAAGCAACAGAAGTTCAATTTGCCAATAAACCAACAGTCAGCAACGAAGCAAAGGTAAGAAGTACACATCATTCGGTAAATCATAAAAAAAAAAAAAAAAAAAAAATAAACATGAAAAAAAAAACATAAAAATAAGCTCGTTGCAATACAAAGTACGATATAATGTTTCATTCTAATTTCAGAGTTTCATTCGAAGTTGCTTAGCGTATAGGAAAGAAGAACGCATCGACGTGCTAACGCTCGCACGACACGAGTACCTTCAGCCACCTATGCCGAAACATGGTCGCCAAGCAAACAATCAGCAACAGCAGCAACAACAGCAGCAGCAGATCCAACAACAGCACCAACAACAACAGCAGACGTCCTTCACAACGGGCATGTTCAGCGGCATGAATGCGTCGAGTAGTTCGTAGTTGTGGAAGACAAATAGCAGTAACGCTAATAATGGACTTTCGAGTAAAGCTTGCACACATGCCAAATCTTGGAGTAATTCCGAGCTGCGCAATATTGTTTTATCTTGAGGCGTGACTGGAGGTGACATCACATGGACGCAGATGCTGGAAGAGCTGTTGAACCAATTGTAAATACGCGAGAGGCAACATGTCAACTAGCATGAAAAGCTGTACGTATGGTTCGTTACCACCGTCACAACATAGTGTAATTGTGACGTGAAATCCGCTCCTGTTGGTGAGATGAACTGCAATTACAGAATGCAAATCAAATGGACGATCGTCTCTGTGTTTCGGAGAAAGGATTGAATAATCTACACACAGACAAAGTTGCAACTTTTTCAAGAAAAGTTGCTATCGATCCATTTATTTAAGCATGACAAAAAGAAAAAAAATGTTGTGTTTGTACATATTCGAATGTATTATCGTTCCTTGTATCGAAAAAACAGTGGGTTGACTGATAATAGTGTTTATTATAAAAAAAAAAAAAATGATTTGAGAGAGAAACGTTCAAACATGTGATATGTCATTGTGAAATGAAGATAAAAGTGGAGTTTAGACTAAAGAGAGGAAATTCGACAGATAAATGTGAGATAGCGTTAGTAAAATCCAGTGGAAGTTAAATTACTCACTTGAACGGTAAAAATAAAAGAGCGAGCTAAATGAGTTGGGAATGAAGGAGAGAAGGAACAAAGTTTTTAAAAAAGTAATACCGATAAGTTGTTAACAACGAAATCGAAAGTTCCCGACTATTCTAGTGAAGGAGAAAAAAGTAAAAAAAATTTCAAGCTGTTCCTCCTCTCTTGCAACATCAAAAGAAAAGAAAAGTATGACGTTTGAATGAGTGCGATAATTGTAAGGTTGTTGAAAATTCAATTAGCGTGTGCATGTAAATATTTATGCTATATATATATTTATACCATTAATTCTAATAAAATATATATATAGTGTAAAATAACGAAGTAATAAAAAGAAGGTAAAGAGCGAAAAGAAAAAAGCCGCATCGTGAACAAGATGAGAAGAAAAGCTGTATGTGTGGTGGCTCTATCCTCGCATGACAGTCGTGCAGTGCCAGATATTCCATGAATATTTGTCCAGCACATCATGTTACTTTATTCAAATATTGATAATTAATTACTTATAACGTGAATAAAAAAAATGAAAAAAAAAAAAAATGAAAACAAACAATTAACCCGCGCCGTAAATACACATGTACACACACATAAGAGAAAATGTACACGTACACACACGAATAAAATAAAATAAATGGAGATTTGGTTAGTTGTTCCTAAGGTTAAACGGGATCGACTATTTAAGATCGACGAAACGAGAGAATAAGCACGGAAGTCAAGGGTTCTTAGCGGGCATACTCCCGGAAAATCGTAAATGCATTAATACAAAAACCAACCACAATTACACACTCGAGTATAAAATTAAAAAAAAAACTAGATGGCAATGAAAGAGTGAAAGAAAACGATGATGGAATGTGACGAGATGATAAACGAAAAATTTATTAGGATCGTTCTCCTTCACTTTTCCCTCCTTATTACTCTGCTCAAATTTTTAACATTCGTATTCAAATGAAGAAAAAAATACAAGTAGCATAATATTTCCCATTCCCGGGGCTCCGTTGTATCGCTCTTTCAAAGCATGGACTCCACTTACCTTTATTATATTAGTCATTTTCTTCTTGTGTTAAAGAAATAAATAAAAATGAAACGATCTGTCGACTTGAACTTTTTTTAAAGATTTAAATAAAGTTAAGAACAATTTTTTAAAAAGTGAACAAAAAACGGAAATAAAATGATATTGGAAGCTGTAAGATTCATAATACTAAAACCAACTTGATCATTACTAGTTTCTTTACTCATAATTTGTTTTATATATGTACGTTATACATAGATAATTATGAAATAGTTTTATCAAGTGCCCTTGCTTTGTATTATAGTCGCATCTGTTGACAAATCGCAGCTTTTGGGAATACTAGAAGATGATGATTAAACAAAAGAATACAGAGTGATCAAAATATTGTATATGCGTTACTAAGAAATAGACAATGCGCGTGAAAGATTTGCCAGTATGGGTGAGATTATTGAATAGAGTGAGCAAGTGTAAGCGATTAGAAAAAAGTCATATGATTGACAGAGTAAGAGAACTTGTTAAAAAAAAGTGTTGTAAGTTGGTACAATAATTGTAGACACGACGTCGATGTCACAAAATTACCAACGTTATTGGCTGAAAAAAAATGTGGACAGAGGAGAATACATACAAGTCTGAACAGTGTCTACTATTACATCCGTCGATTATATACTCGATAAACGCCAACACACCGATCCTCGATCCTTGTCCCATCTTATTATTACGAAAAAAAAAAAAAAAATTTATGTATATATACACATATACACGATGACAAAAATATAAGACGACAAAATTCCAATTTTTACATTTTAATTATATTACTAGAATCAAGATCTCTCTAAAGAATATTGTGCAGTAATGTTTTTTTTCCCATCAGTTGACGCTTTTAGTTTCATTTACTTTCTTTTTTTTTCTTTGTAAAGATATGTGTGATCATTGGTCCTTTTAATATCATGTTTCCAAATATTTTTGTCAAAAAACAGGTCATTTATTTTGCTGTACAATATTTTTAGCATTGCTCAATAATGACTTTCTAGCATATCTTTGTAATAAAGCAATAATAACTTGAAAATAGGTTTTTACAAACTTTTCGTAGAAATGTATTTATCTTAAACGATGACTAAATTATATATACATAGATACATTATTTAATAAATGTAAATATTCAGTTATATAGAAGTAGGTGGACGAAAAACAAGTTACATTCATACGTATTTGAAGAATCATCGAAGAAACATGTGTGATATTAATTTAATTTGTAACAATGGACACTTTTCTTTTAATTTACTGAAAGTTGATTTTCATTTTTTTGTTTTTTAATGTATAAAAATGCATCGCACGCATACATGCATATTACATTTTTTAATTGAAATATAATTTTAAGAATAAAAATTTCATGCAAAGACTAACATAGTTTGTCGTAATTATTACGTTTGTTTTTAATTTTTTAATAATTAGTCTTAAAAAAAAATAATAAATAAAAAAGGACCCAAAATGAAACACATTACACAATACGAAAGTTATTAACAATAAATATTGATAATATGTTGCATGAAAAGTCTTACATCCTTTGTGGATATAATTTTTGTGCCTAAACGATGTTTATCAAATTGGAAAGATTATTCACCTTACAATGTCTTTTAATAGTAATGCAAGTTAGAAACAGTCATAAATATGTACCAAAAAGAATAATAACGAAGAAGCGGCACTTCGCATCAATTCAATATTCTAAAAATTTGTACCACTATTGAAACTAACATCATATTTTTTTTCAGTAAATTTTAATACTAATTTAAATAACATATTTTTATAATTTTTCGACGTTTAAAATATGAAACATAATTGAGGGTATTACGAAACTATTTATTTTTTGTTAGGGATTTGAGTTTTTATACAAACTCTTTTATTTCTACATTGCCCGGTCCTTGATACATTTTATTAACACCTGCGATTAAAAAATTGTGAAAAAAATATTGTTTATAGGTATATCAAAAATATTGGGCTCTTATAAGAGGGATGTCATTTTTTCCCGCGAGGTCATTTGTCCCTTACTCTTACGCGTTAATAAAAATTAACTAAGTACCATCTTAAATTTTTACGAATATAAGAGAAAAAAAATCTATCATGTAGTATTATCAGAAAATAAAGTTCAACATTTTCTGACATAACTCCATGTACATCACGATTTTCATCAATTTTTTTTATCAGAAATCTCAGTTACGTATTTTTTTTTTGGTGGTTTAGCATTGATTTTCAATTATTTATTTATTCAAAGCCTTTTCACTCAGTTAAGCCATAATAAATTATTAATGCAACTTGTTTAATTGCGATAACTTTCAGTTCGATTTCGTTCGTCGTCACGTGTAATGTGTGAAAAGTAAAAAGCATTAAAATGTTTGTAAGAAAGTATTAGTCGTTGTTTTAATGAGTTGATTTTACAAAGAATTTCATGTAAATGATTTTTTAGTTAAAAGACATTCAGATTACAGTTTGGACTTCATGTAGTTGGCTGTAGTAATTTTGAATTTGGCGCTTGTGCCACAAACGAACTACTAATCTTTCTTTACCAAAAAATATACACTCATTTGTATATCTCTATATGGTATACACTATATACCGCACCAAAGCGTTCCTATACTTACCTTCCATGCAATTTTCGCTTGATGTGTGTGTGTGCTTGCCCTTCTTGGGCTTGCCAACAAATCTTAACGGTTTATAAGTATACACACGCGCATAAGCACGAAGTAAGTATTTGCGCGCATTTTTGTGCAATTTTGTATTAATCGTAGGATTCGTAGGTATCGTGTTTGTAGTACAGTGTTGTTGGCTTCATCTATACACAATCTATTTTACCTGGAAATTAATTTTCATGAAGTGCGCGAGAAGATATATTTACAAAGTGCATATTTAGAGCAGCAAACAGCAAAGCATTTTTTTTCTCTCGAAAAAAGTGAGGCCCTTTCATGGGACTGTTGCCATTTCGAGTTTTTTTTTTATATTTGTTCTACTTGTGACTCGCGGCTGCAGTGCTCTCTTTTTTGTAAGGGATTGTGGGGTTATTTTAACATTTACAAAGTAGTGCTACTTGTAAAGTGCTGATGTAAAGTACGTGGCTATTACGGCTCGACTTATACTTAATGCTTATAAGCTATAATGTACACCCTTTTTTTTGGCACCCAAAATTCACTGCTTCGAAGGTTTGATCATTTTGATTGACTCTTCTCAGGCGCTCTTAACTGCTGTAGCTGTTTTCAGTGTATAGTTCAGTCACACGAGCAATGATTTTTTTTACCTCGAAACTGACTGAAATAACTGTTAACTAGATTCCAAATGAACTTTGCATCATCTCGTCGACACTTATAGAAAAGTATACTTAGTAGGTATTTGCCAGGTGTGGATTGCAGTTGTATGCTGTTTGTCAACAAGAAGTAATAATGGCCAAAGTACCAAAACACAGGAGGATCAAAAGGGCTACAGTCCTTATCAAGAGAACTAGGTGTATCAAGAACAGTAAAAAAGTCATAAAAGCCCCCTCCTTGCGTAAGTGTCTATCAGTTGTTCGTTTTAAAAGTCAAATTTTGCCACATGGTAATTAAAATCATTATGCATTACCTTCTAGTGTATCAGAAATTGAAAGTTAACAATCATTCATTGGCTAAAGCCTTGGCCCAGGAAAGACAAGAGTATCGGATGTTATTCACAAGAAACAATGAGTTGCTGGCAGAAGTACAAGACTTAGCTCATGCTTGTAACAAACGTGATGTGATTATCGCAATAATTTACTTTTTATTCTAATTTTGTCTTTTATTGTGATAATCTAACACCATGATGTCTTGTTTCAGCTGGTGATTTCAAATATATTGAAAAATTCAAAGGAAATGATGCAAATGCTTGTAACGATGTCAGGCTTCTTGACTAATGTTATTTCTTCGTGTCAAGAGTTTGTGTCAAATCAAGTCCCCCGCCGTACATCTAGTAGCAGTAACGCTGGAAGTGAGCTTTACTTCCATAATATTCATAATGTTCAAATACCTAGAAGAGTACATAAATATTTTAACAATTTGTAGGGAGAGAGTCGACTCGAAGAACATCCATGAAATCACCAGCCAGAGGAGTTGTCAAGCCAATGGTGAGTGGCCACACAATAACGAAGCCTACAATAAATTTAAGCAGAGTAAACATGCAGAGACTGCCGAATTCAAATTTGAGTATTATTGAAGAGCCATCAACCCCTGAAAGGAATTCGGACAGATCAATCGTAAGCTGATTCGAATGCTCGTAATATTTGTACAAAAAAATTTGTTTAATGTTTAATTTTTTGTCTTTTTGTAGCCGGAAAATAGACGCTCACGTAGTTTATCTGAGAGGATCCCAGGTCCTGCACTTAGCAACGAAAGTAAGCTATTTCTGTTAAAAAATAATTGAAAAAAAAAAAAAAAAAAAAAATACAGCGACAGAAATAAAATTTTACTCTGTAGATGAAGATGACCGTGCAATGCTCAGGAGAAGGTCAAACAGATATTCTGCAGGAAGATTATCGTCGGGACGGTATTCCAAAAAAAATTCTGGTCGTTTGTCGGGAGGAAGTGTTGTTGTTGGTAGATTGTCAAGAGAATTACTAAAAAGTCCTCGCGTCACTTTACAAGACGTCTCGAGATATTTGACGAACAATCAAAGTATTAACGTTAGACTGGTGGGTGTTTTACGTTAGTTTGGAGAATTTTGTTTCTAAGTAATGTATTTACTGAAATTCAAATTGCAGTTTTCAGAAACAGCTAACTCGAATAACGCCAACAGTTCAAGTAGTCCCGAAAATATGCAACAAAGTGAGCCGTCAAGTCCTGAAGAAAACGATCAGGCAAACATGGTGATTGTCCAGAACGACTCTGAGCCTCAAAACACATCAGAATCCGAGACTGAAAATACTCCAGTACAACAATCACTGCCAAGGAAGTCAACGATGAAGTCGGTAGAAAGTAAATGTGCTCCAAAGCGTAGTGTACGATTTGAAAATCGTTCATCCACTAGCTACGACTCGGACGACCCTCTGGAAGGCCCGAGCTGGTTATTCGATTCAACCGTGACCGAGGAGGATACAGATAACGACGCAAGAAATAATCGAGAGAAAAATACATCGCGTAGTAAGTCAAACCGCCACTCTTCAGCAAACATGGAGCAAAATTCACCAGTGTCGTCATTGAGTTCGAGACGTCGCAGTTCTGGCAACTTTCGCGTGCCTGAGTTACCTAAACGATTTATCAAACCGGCTGTTTCTTCTCAGCTCAATCTTAACAATGATTTCGATTTATCAAATACTAGAGATGGTATCGGCTTGGAAACGTCTAGCAGGTATGAAATTTTTTTAATTTCACTAAATTAATTATTATTATTGAAGGTTAAAATAATAGCATAAATAAAAATAACAAATTTGAGATCTTATCAATCTATCTTTTGGTCTTATGGGAAAAATATTTTCATTCTACAGCTATGCGAATCATAATGGAAATTTAATTAACCGAAATGGCGAGGACGATGAAGAAGATGACGAGGACGAGGATTACGATCGTCGAAGAAATCTATGTTTCATAACTCAGAGGCGAGGTCACATGAACGACGACGAAGACGACGAAGATGACGACACCATGCTGATAAACATGCAACGTCAAATGAGGCCGCACGCACAGGCAAGCTTTCAACAACCCCAACAGCATCAGTCGCCTGAACAGTCCGAGCGAATGCAATTTGACCTTAATGAACTGCTACAGTTGACGCCACTCAAGCCCCTGCTGAAAATCAATTGTACAACCAACAATGAGCTTGTCCAGCCGGACCCTGAAGCCGAGCCAACAGTCACGGTTCAACTCACTCAGAGGTAATTTTGACTTTGTTCTCGAAGACATTACTTTTATTTGGAAATTTTTTATTTATGTGTCTGATGGTAGGGTTCCTCCAGTACTGGAGGAGACGTTAACAATGAGTCGAATGTCAACCGAAAAAATTCAGCAATCAGTGGCGCGAAACCAAGATAGTAGGGCTAGTGGTAGCAACGGCCAAGAACCTCGACGTTTCAGTGAACTTTCGACCTCTAGACTAAGCACAAGAATCGAGTTGCCGAGGCTTACGGAATTTCAAAACACAATCGTTGTTGAAAACAATCAACAACCGAATGTGATACTTCCGTCTGATGTTACGGACAATAGCAGTAATATGATGGAGGTGAGGAGCAGTTTACTCTACTTCAATGGTTTATTTTTAATTTTTCAATGATAAAATATTTTAATGACATTGTTTTTTATTCAGAAACGAAAAAGAAATGTAAGGAAACAATACACCGAGGTGAGACACTTGGCAAGTGAGGAAGAGGAAGAGGAGGAGGAGGAAGCAGAAACACCCAAGAAAAAGAAAAAAAAACCTAAAAAAGGTAAAAAGAATAGTGATAACAAGGACCCAAGTAGTGCTAAAGTTGTGCTTCAAAAATTGAACAATTCAAAGCGATCGGCATCGAAGTCAGAGCACAAGAATTCTGATGAATCATTATCTTCCGCGTAAGTTTTATTACTTTTTATAATTGGTGATAAATTTCAACTTTCTATTTTTAAAAATAATTTTATATAGGAGAAGTTCCGTTATATCGAGAGTGGACCCTTCAAGTGATTCGGAGTGTAGCAGTACTAGTAACAACAGTAGAATGACATCGGCACGACCAAGACGCCAGAAAGCCCCGAAAAATTTACAAGAACCAAACATCAAAATGTAAGTACTTTTTGTAAATGTTAATAATTAAAGTAGCATAAAATATAACTACTGGTTTTGTTGCAGGAAATTAAGGAGATAAAGTTCAAGCACTAACTCTCTTGGAATTGTTATCATGGCTAAGTTAAGAAAAACAGTCTATCATTTATGCCTCTTCATGATTTCAATGTTGTACATAGTGTTATAGTTAGATTTCATCACGTGTATGTTTAATTAATGTTAGCGCCAGATTTTTCACCGAGTATCGTTTTCCATTAGAGTGATTTTCATTTAAATGAATGGTCTGAATGTTCAATTTGACATTTATATTACAACCATTTTGAACAAGTTTAACGCTAAGATTAAAAACTAATTTTTTGTTAAACAAAAAAAAATTTGCAAAATAGTTGAAACTTTTCATTTCCTGCTGTTGTATGGCAAAACAGTTAATTTACTGGTTTATGATTGGTTTATAATTTTACACGAAAATACAATGTTTGTAATCATAAATTATACGTGTTTAATTTTACAAATTAAATTATGGCCATTTGCTTGTCTTGCTTGGCCAACAAATAGTATGTAACTGATTTACATTATAGGTAGAAAAAACTTGTTATATATGTGTAAGGAATTCACTTATACCATGAGCTGATAAATTCATGTTAAATTTTAATGTAGCTTGCATTTTTGCATTGTTAAAGTTTCAGTTTTTCATAATTTTCTTATTTAGGATTATTTGAAAAACTATTACCTTTATTAAAATGTAATCTAACTTAATAAATTTTGTAATAAGCGTCTAAGATGTACTTCCTTTAAAGTTTTTTATACTACACATGTAATCAAACCTTTGTCAATTATATTACGAAAGATATCAAGCATAATGATGAGCTTATCAACTTGTGTGTTAGGCAAATCAATGTTGTAACAAATTTATATCTTATCCAAAACTATATTACTGTTTGCATAATTTTCATAGTGGACTTATTAAATAACGTTAATTGTATTACTTATTTAGGCTACTTGAGATTAAATTTGGAAGTTTTTTTAACAAAAAAGATTTTATGATGTAAAGACGAACAGTTTTATTTATGAAGTATTATTTTATAACGAAAATACTTGACATCTCCCAATATTCTTTTTATAAAAAAAAA